GTCACAAGATCTTTAGCCTCAAATTGAATCAGTGGAAAAGGCTGAGGAGGCATAAATCCTGCAGGTGCTGGTCTCACAAGCGGGAGGACCTGGGTTTGTTTCCCGGGCGGCGCAATAACTTAGGAAAGTTTCCTTACTCCACACATCTCTGTTTACCTCATAAGTAGGAACTTGGTTGATTGATCAACCAGGTTCCTACTTACTGCTAGGTAAACAGAGACATGTTTCTGTTTACCTAGCAGTAGTCGATTGGCAGATCACTTTCCAGGGGTAATTATACCTTCAAAAAAAATTAATAATTTGGTCACCTAATCCATGACTGTTTGTGGGACACTGCTGTGCGCCGTTGGCTGCCACATTTCGGCCGCAAAATATACAGTCAATTCACTTTACAGTATATCCTGTGAAACGCATTGAGACATCTCAATGACGTGATAAGGGACTATATGAAGTGCAAGCTTTATTATTATTGTGTTTAAGTCTAATTCTGGAATCTAAATCTCCAATCGTTGACAAATCTATCAACTTGTGAAAAGTATTATGTATCAGGTAGATGAGATGAACTGTTTGTTTCTGTACTCTAATATTCTCTGATTGTATGAATATCATTGGGTTGAGAGAGTTATTTCCCAAGTAAATTGATTCTGAGCTTCCAAGACCAAGGTAACTCGTCCATAGGAATATGGGAACTTTGTTTTTATTTCTTCAAGATTTTATTTCACCAACATAGACAGAAAGAAAATAGAACAGTGGATTATTAAATCACACCATCAAACTGGTAGCTGTTGTGAGAAATGGTAAACAGGGCACTGGAACTGAAAGAGATTCTTTTCTGAGGTTGGGTTTAAGGCACGCTGCTGATGGAGAGTAAAGAGAGGCAGATGGGGAGGAACTTTACTCTGCATCTGGCTTACGCCTTGACCTGGCAAAACGTGATGCTGAGCAGAAAAAAAATCACCCCCAAAAGATACAAATTCAAAAAGATTACATAGAGGCAAAAAGCATCCATAATATTGGTTATTTTGCCCACAAAATGTACAGTCAATTCACTTTACAGTATATTTTGCAAAGCACTTTGATATGTCTCAAAGACATGATAAGGCGCTATATCAAATGCAAGGATTATTATTATTATTTTCATTTCTTAGGGCTGCAAACTTGCCACTTTTTGTTACTGATTGGACTCTACCTTTATACGTAAGTGTTATATATGCTTGCGGCATGCTCACCTAACTTGGCTTTCAAGAGCCATATGCTTCTAAATCGCTGGGTTGTTGTCAGGCAGGTTGTTGTGGAATGTGATTGTTAGCACATTGTTCAAAATTTCAGAGGGGACAGCTCAATAATTAGCGACTAATCCTGCGGGTGTAATCCTACCAAGCCCCTCGACTGTTTTGCACAAATTTGGGGCCCTAAGAGAGGCTAATGTAGTTGTCAGGTGTGGCTTATGAGTGCTGGTTAATGGGAGATGGCTTCACTAGCAGTTTTTGTCATGAGGTCAGTCAGTATCCCAAGATTCTTACTTCCAAATGCATCAAGGCAAACAGGAGGACACAGGATCAGGGTTGCTAATCACAATTTCAGGAAAGACACCAGCAAGTGCTTGTTTACCCAGAGTAACTAATGGCTGGGACAGGTTGCCAAGGAAGGGTGGTTGAGTCCAGAACACTGAGCTCATTTAAGTTGTTATGGGAGGACAGGAGAGTGGGTATACTGGAAGGGTGATATCAAATTGATTCAAGTGCCTTCTTCATCTGGAACTGACTCGTTTGTGATCTTGTGAATCAGCACTCAAATAGACAGCCAGCAACTCCAAAGCAATTTGTCGTACAACCATTATGTTGCTGTCGGGGGAGAGGAGCAGTGTCACTCTTCATGACTATTCAGAACACTAATAATTTTCAGTACCAAAGGTCATTTGGCCCATTGTGCTTGTACCAATGGAAATTGTATTTTATTGTACCATCTCTGTGTTGTCCTACTGCTCTGCCTTTTCTCCATGCATTTTTATATTTACGGGTTCCTTTTCACATCTATATTTTCGTTTCAAATGCTTTATTGGATTCTGCTTTGACCACCAATTGTGGTAGGGCATTCCACAACCTCATAACTATGGGTGTGGGTTTGTGTGTGTATAAAAAAATCTTACCAAATGACATTGACTGAAATTTTCAGTAAGGTTAACAATATCACACCTCAGAATTTTCACCTTGTTGTCCTGTGGTTGTGGGTTGGTTGTCTTATTAGTCAGCTTTACACTGTTGCAGCTGAATGCTCCATAGGATTCCTCTTTTTCATATAATGATACTGTCTTGGTTTGTTCGTGCACTTTTATATTATTTTATATATGTGTGTATATATTGTATTTTAAAAAGACGAACAATAGCCTCCAAATAGAGCTTAGTAATTATAAGCTCAACTACTCAATGATCATTACACCCCAGAATACATATTACTTTGTTAGCAATGCATAGTTGTTGCGCTGGGCTGATGAAATTGGCATTGTTGCTATTTTAATAACCGCAGCAATCCATTCGACACTCTGGATAGCACTAAGGTTGCTAGCAAGGCGTGCCAGGGATGCTCTTCATAATGCTGCATCACTGTGCTGCTTTGCTCATCCTTTTGTTGCTGGGAAGAAAGTAACAAAGTACCATGGAAGCTTTAAAGCTGCAGTATCCCTTTTCCCAAAAGTTTGATTTCAATGAGGTCAAATTAAAGCTAAATGATCTATGGTTTGTGCGTAATCCAGTTAATTCCTCTAAAACATATTAGAGCAAAGCTAACTCATCGGCAATCCAATGTGGGGTGTGGGATGGACAGCTTTGGGGCAAAACCACTGTGAATGGTTTTGGGGAGGAGGTAATAGGTTCTACCTCCAGTGCACCCAGGGAGCAGTCAGTAATTTAACATCAATTTTGTTTCAACAATGTGTTAGACAGCAGCATCGGTGTTAATCATCTCAACCATGGCAAATTTCACCCCATCTACATTATAGTTTGGGTTACACTTTGTTCCAGAGTTAAGTTAATCTGAAAAACTGGTAGAGATGCCAATGTGAACCCAGACTTCCACAATGAAAGTCTCAATATGCAAAGGTTATTGGAGTCCTGTAGCTCAGTGGTTAGAGCACTCGCCTCGCAAGCGAGAGACCTGGATTTAATTCCCAGCAGGGTGAAACCTTGGGCAAGTTTCCTTACTCCACACGCCTGATAATAATCCCTAAAGAAAAAAAAAATAATAAATTGGTCACTTCAATCCACAACTGTGGAACACTGCTATGCGCAATTGGCTGCCCACAAATATGCAGTCAATTCACTTTACAGTATATTCTGTGAAGCTCTTTAAGGCATCTAGATGTGAAAAGCGCTATATCAAATGTAAGGATTATTATTATTATAATATTGTTTTCACCCTGTAAAATGCATTGGTGACATTCAACAACAACAAGAACAACAACAACAAGATTTCATTTATAGAGCGCCTTTCACGTCGGGAGGACGTCCCGACAGTTGGGTCAGGACCTGAGCAGGGAGGAAATGGTCAGGGTGAGGGGAGGGAACGGAGGGAGCGAGGAGGGGTAAGAGAGTCGAGAGGGGAGCTGAAGGCACGGTCAAAGAGAAAGGTCTTGAGACCGGCCTTGAAGGAGGAAAGGGAGGAAGCAAGGCGAAGGCACTGGGGGATGGAGTTTCAGAGCCTCGGGGCTGAGAGGCTGAAGGGCGGTTGGGGCGGGGGATGCGGAGCAGACCGGAGCCAGAGGAACGGAGGGTATGGGCAGGTACCTGGGTCGAAGAGGTAGTAGGGAGCAAGGCCGTGAATGGCCTTGTAGGTGAGGATGAGGATCTTGAATTCGATCCTCTGGGGGATGGGGAGCCAGTGGAGGCGAGCGAGGGTGCGAGTGATGTGGTCCCGAAGCCTGGTGCGGGACAGTACACGAGCTGCAGAGTTCTGAATGACCTGCAGCTTGTGGAGGGAGGTGCGGGAAGGCCGGCGAGGAGAGAGTTCCCATAGTCCAGCCTTGAGGTGATAAAGGCGTGGACTAGAGTTTCAGCAGCGTGAGGGGTGAGGTAGTGCCGTAGTCTGGCGATGTTTCGGAGGTGATGGAAGGCGGTGCCAGTTGTGGCGCGGATATGAGGAAGAAAGGACAGCTCAGGGTCGAACAGAACACCGAGGTTCCTGACTGGCTTTGAGAGGTGGAGAGTGCAGCCTTGGATGCTGATGCTGTCAGCGCCTGAGGTGCGGAGGCGCTGACGCGAGCCAATCAGGAGGGCCTCAGTTTTACGCACGTTGAGTTGAAGAAAGTTGTCTCTCGTCCAGGACTCGATGTCGGACAGGCAGGCTGTCAAGACATCGGTGGTCGTGGAGTTGAGGGAAGAGGAGGAAAGGTAGAGTTGGGTGTCATCCGCATACATGTGGAAGTTAACCCCATGTCTGCGGATGATGTCACCAAGGGGGAGCATATAGAGGGTGAAGAGGAGGGGACCGAGGACAGAGCCCTGAGGGAAGTGAGCTGTACTGTTGCTGTGGGAAGATGGACTTTTATTGGGGTGATGTTAGACATTAAAAACATGAGCCCATTGGCTAGTGGCTGCCTGTTTCAGTGGAATAAATTGTTTATTTGTCCTGTGCTTATGTATGTATTTACACACTATCAGAGTGTAGGGCAAAATACAATATTGGGTTGAAATTCCATACGTCTTACGCTATTATCTTTGATAATGTTGGCTCCTTATGGGTTTTCCCATTATAACTGCGCAATGCTAAAAAGCAACGCTCTATGAGATTTTTACCTATGTTGTTTATAAATGCGAGTAAATAATATATGGGTAACAATTCCGTCCAGCAATATGAACGTCACCTTTGGTGATGAGGGCCACTAAACGGATTTTCCGATTACACTTGAGAGCATCACTAAAAGTTTTTCTGTGTATCACTGAATGGAACCCAATAGATTAACATGCTAAAATGACTGGGATGAAATGATAACACAAATGCAAATAGGGACTTAGGACTTTTTATTTTTATACATTTTTACAGGTTTATAAAAAGACTAAGAAAGGGGTACTGCAACCTTAATACTGTGGCTTACACACAGAGGGTAAAGCTTTGGAGACTTCATCAGTCCACATTGTAGTTTGTACAAAAAAGCACAGCTCTTGTGGTTCAAGTGTTATTGCAGGAAAAGAAAAACAGAAGTTATTGCATAGACATCTAGCAGCTACTGGCTGAACGAAATCAACCCAGTTCCTGCTGTTAGTGTATCAAAATTGATTTATTTTTTATTACATTAATAAAAAAAATGAATCTCACATGTTGGCATAAGTAAGAGTTGAAGATGTAGATGTTTACTGATGTACTGATAGAAAATGTCAATCTAGATTTTGGAGTTCATATATCTTTCCTATAAAAATGTTCCATAATAGTAGGAGATTTATCTGTTGGATCAAGGGGCGTTTAACAATGTCAGTGCAACATTATGACTGAGCCCAAGTCACTTTTTTTGCTTCCTCTATTCCCAAATAAATGTTCTGAGTTGTGCTCTTTTTGTCCTCTTGTGTATGGGGTATATTTTCTCTCTGGGGAGTGGGGTTTGGTTGTTTAATATCTTGGACTAGAAGATCTAATGATGGGAAGGGACACCTTTACCAGTTTCTTTATGGGAATGATGCTTGCAGTTGCATGTTACTGAGAAGGTGTTAAAATGTTTTGGTAATGCCAGGCAGAAGGGCAAGTTCTCAGAGGAAAGCGGAATGGTACCGCTGTGCTCACTGGCAGACCCGGCTGTATTCCTGGCAGGTTGAGCCCTCACCAGCCACGGAACGGTATAGTTTGCCATCTGGACAAACGCAAACTTCATACAGTCCCTGAGAAATTCCAGAGCCACCCTGTATCCCCTGAGGCAACTTGGGCAGCTTCACAGTCTCAGCATCTAAGAGTATCTGCAAAAACAAAACGGGGTGGGGACGACGACAGGAAATCCTATTATTTTTGTGCTTTTATTTTCCATGTTACACCAGAGGTAAGAACGCTACTAGCTGAGCCAACCCATTCTAGTGGGGCTGATAGTGCTACAAGATAACAATTTTAACTCTTTTGATAGCTGGTGCGGTACTCCAAAATACAGCCCAGAGTCAAAATTGTTATATTATATAGATTAAGCGAGGTGGGATGGAGTTCCAGAGAGGGGGTGCATCATGGCTAAAGCAGTCCATCCGCCCATCAACAGGCTTTCAGACACGATACACCCTCTCTCTGGGTCTCCATCTCGGGTCCCTCCCTCTCTTCCCTCTCTCTTCCCTCCCTCCCTCCCTCCCTCCCTCCCTCCCTCCCATCTTTCAAGGTTTATCTCAAAACATACCTTTTAACCATGCTTTCAGTCATCTTTCACCTCCCCATTCCCCTCAACTTTCATCCTTAGCTCTGTGCCGAACTACAATTGTCAAATGCTTTGGGACGTCCTCCCAATGTGAAAGGCACAATACAAGCGGAAATCAAGGATAATTAAAGAACACTTTGACTGGATAGTGTCTTTGGGACCGAATTCCACCCCTACCACCAATCCTCCCATTTTAGGAGAATAATTTCTCCCTCTGGTCTCTCACAGTCAATTTGGTCACCATATTTTGAAAATAGCATTTCAGTAAGTTCCAAAATTCTGATTCCTAGACGCTTATTTAACTTTAAAATATTAATGTTTAAATTTATTTTTAGGCCAGTGTTGTCAAAGAAGCACAAAATCCGGGTTCTCTACAGTCCACTCCAAACACTCCCACACCAGGCGTACTCACCATTCCTTCACTGGTGTGAAAGATGATGTCCATCTGAGAGCTGCCCTCAATATTGCCTGCTCTTGCTTTGATCTGAACCCCTTTGGGTGCGTCCATGCTCAACGAACGAGTTGGGGATTCCAATCTAAGGGTAAAAGAAGGTAAGATCTTTGATTGTGCTGATAACTGTCGCAAGGATTTGCAATTATTTTTGCTCTCCCCTCAGATCCCTTTGTTCGTCTACCGGTTCAGGTGAACGTCAAAGATCCCCTAGAACTACTCCAAAAGAGAAGGGAGTTTCTCCTCATGATCTGGCCAACAATCTCCCAAGTAAAATGGGTTATTCATTGCATGGCTGATAGTGGAACATTGCAATGCACTATTGGGATACCGCATTCGCCTACAAATACAGTCACTCCACTTTAAAATATATCCTGTGAAATACTTTGGGCCATCCTCCTGATGTGAAAGATGCTATACCAAATGCTAGGATTATTATTATTATTATTATTATTATTATTATTATTATTATTATTATTATCATATGTCTTTACCAAGTAGCAGGATTTATAGAGTCTGATTTGAGGCTATTTCTATTGGGATTTCTTATTTAAGGAAACTTGAAGTACGTCACGTCAACTCTGCTTTGACACAATCCATCCTTTGGATGAGGTCCCATCAGCCTGTTTGGCTCAAAAGAGCTGAGAATTAAGAGACAAGTGCTTTTTCTCGGCTTAGGTAACAATCCTCCAGGTAAGAATTGGTCATTGATCAGTCTTGACAGAAATTCTGTAAAGCCCCTTGAAACATTTTGAGGTGATAAAAGCATCATAAAAATGCAAGTTCTTTCTTCTAGCCAGAGTTCCCATGAGTAGGAGTAATGGACATGGCATAATTCCAGTGACTAGAAGAGTCGACACTCAGATTCTTGAATGAAATGATCACATTAAAAGTCACTGCGTATTAGACCCCATGGGCTACTTAATCTTGTCAGCCACAATCAGGTTGGCTGTGATATTGTACTTATCTTTTTGAGCAACCCAATTTTGCAGCTACGCTTGCTATGTAGCTGTCAGCAATTTGTTCCGGAAGATAATATGTAATATTAAAATTATGCATTAACGTTATTTTGTTTTGAAAAAAACAAAACAAACAACCGGGATATGAAATGCATTAATTCCCTCTGGGTAGTGTTCAAACTGTAGGTCATATCCAAGATACTAAGCTATTAAAAATGTTTATAAGATTATACAGTAAATAGAAAGACAAGCTATTAATAAAATAACGTCCACTATATATTAGGGCAACTGCTCCCCAAGTCAATGAAATTTAATTCAATCTAATAAAATTTAACTCAATCATTCATATCAAAAGTTATTAAGATCTATCGATGAGTTACATCATATGAGTCTTGACAGCAAAGGGAATCCAGCAACTGTGCTGGCAACTTAGATGCCACATTTTGTATGTGGGGATGCTGAGATCCAAACATCTCTAGTGCAGGTGTAAACTTCACCCCCTCCTCTTCCTTATTACTATCAGTGAAGCAGCTATGTGTAAAATCCAGATAAATGTCCCTCTTTTAGCCAAAAGATTACAGTTCCTGTATATCTCATTGGCCAATCTGTGATATTCATAATAGGATTTGTAAATAGCAAATCCCTGACGATATGCCAAATCCTCCCAAGTTACCAATCTCAGTTAAAACTTCCTTAAAGTTGGTAATTAACTAGGGTTCAGAGGTCTGACTGCAGATCAGAGGTCAAACTGGTGTGTCAAGTTCAGACTGGGATTCTTAGGTCCAGCTTCATAATTCTTGATTTATAAACCTTTTTTGCAAATTATTGCGGAGTTTTTTATTACAATTTTTAACAGCGAGATCTGGGTGAAGGCTTTTACGAAATGAGGACACAGAATTTAAGAAGATGAAAAAGAGCCCCATCACCTCTCTCTGGATTTAAAGTTATTGGATCACCTCTCTCTGGATTTAAAGTTATTGGATTTCGAGAAAGTTACATCGAAGGAATCTCATGGTAAATTAAGGCGCATTGGGGGAAATTAGATAGATAGGCTGGATGGTCTAATTCTGCCTGGAATTGCTCCAATGTTACCCACCCACCTCAGACGCAAGACAGCATGCACCAAAGTGTATTCCCTAAATAACTTAATCTCCTTTTTAAACAATGCAGCAATATTTCACATCAGAGGTCAGTGCGCACTGGTGGACTAAGAAGAAACTCTCACAGCAGAGCACAGTCTATCTCATGCTGTAAACTTACAGACTAAAAAGTATTTTTTGCAGGAACCAAATATGGTTTAAATAAGACAAAGGGAAAACCACCATGTCAAATATTAATAATAGCAATCCTTGCATTTGATACTGCACCTCATCATGTCTTCGAAACGTCACAAAGCGCTTCACAGAATATATTGTAATGTGGTTCGACTGCCCAATTTTTTTTAGGGATTATTACCCCAGGAAAAGCAATCCACCAATCGAGTAACAACTCGGTTCCTACTTACTGCTAGATAAAGAGAGGCGTGTGGAGTAAGGAAACTTGCCTAACTTTTCGCCCTGCCCAGGAAACAAACCCAGGTCTTCTTGCTTGTGAGGTGAGTGCACTAACCATCAAGCTACAGGACTGCACAATACACAATGCAAGGATTGTTAACAATAAAATCTTTGCATTTGATGTAATAAATCCTTACATTTGATATAGCGCTTTTCACGTTTTCTAGACGTCTCAAAGCGCTTCACAGAATATACTGTAAAATTAATTGACTGTATATTTGTGGGCGAAACACGGCAGCCAATTGCGCACAGCAGTGTCCCACAAACAGTCGTGGATTGAGTGACCAAATTATTAATTTTTTTTAAGGATTATTATCCTCAGAAAAGCAATCCACCAATTGACTAACTACCGAATTCCCACTTACTGCTAGGTAAACAGAGGGATGTGGAGTAAGGAAACTTGCTCAGCGTTTCGCCCGACCAGGAATCGAACCCAGATCTCTCGCTTGCGAGGCGAGTGCTCTAAATATAATGCCTTATCAAGTCGTTGAGGCACTCAAAGAGCTTCACAAAATACACTGTAAAGTGAGTTGACTGTATATTTTGTGGGCTAAACTTAGTCTTAAAATATTAAGATTCAACTCTTCGCCTTCAATTTCAGAGTTTGGAATAATTTAATTTCTATGAAGAACGTAACTTTACTTTTTGGAGCCATTAGGAGTAGGAAATCAAACCAACCTGATGTCAATGCGTGTGTCAATCCCTTCCTCTCTCAGCCTTCCTTGTCTTATGTTTCTTGCTGAAACCTATCCTTTGGGAAGCATAATAGCTCTACCCTAGATCAGCTCCTTGGTAATATTACAAATGGTGTTTATGAGAATTTACAGTAAAATGGAAGGTCTAGTTGTTAGTAAAATAACTTTCTCCAGGGTTCTTATTTTTTTATTTTATTTTTTATTTTATATACATTCTTAAACTCAATTATAGTTTATGTTGAACAGATAATGAGTTGCAATGATTTCCAATTAGTTGCTTTTCAAACACTTTTCTAGCACTGGTTAGAAGGCGTTAACACTGCAACAAGCTAACAGAATAAGAGGACATGGGTTTAGAGTTGTAAAGGACAGTTTCAAGATGGATACCAGTAAGATTTTTCTTTACCCAAAGGTATTCTCGCCAAAAATCCCCCAAATAAAACTGGTCATTCACTTCAAGGTTGTCTGTGGGACATTATTTTGCGTAAATTGGCTGCTGCATTCGCCCACAAACACACAGTCACTGCACGTTACAGTGTATCCTGCAAAGTGCTTTGGGATGTCCTCCATGAAACAACAATAAATTGCATTTATACAGCACCCCTCACATCCCAGAGCACTTGAAAGGCACCAAAGCAAATTAAAGAATTATTATTATTATTCATAATAATGACTGGAACAGTTTGCTAGGAAGCCTGGTTGAGGTCAGGATACTGGATTTAAAAAAGAACTTGATATTGCGATGGGAGGACGGTAGGGTGGATCTTCTGGAAGGAAGAGATCAGTTGGGCCGAGGGACCTACTTCATCCAAACTAATCTTGAGATCTTGTCAGAACTCAAAAGTGGGAGCTGAGACTTGTCTAAAAGATAAGAAAAGCAAAGCAAAGAACTAGGATTCTGTGGTAAATAATGTAAACAAGAAGAGATCTCTTGAGAAAGGGTGAGGCATGAAAATTCTGTTTGCTATTATTTTTTCTACCTAATTAATTTATTTGAAGGATCACTCGTCAGAAAAATACTGAGGAATTAAATTGCGAATGAAATGAATTTGACAATGAGACTAGGAAGGCTAGCGGCAGTATCAAGATCCACCTCTTTGACTGCACTTTCGGTCATCTTCCTCCTTCCCACCCCACTTGGCTGCCATCTCCAGCCAAGCCATCATTGTTAAGTGCCTTGGAGCATCCTCCCGACATGAAAGGTGCCATGCAATTATAAATGTATATTGTAAGTTGTTTTTGCCTTAAGGGGTTGGGGAAGGTAAGCAGGTCTCTTTGGGAATGAGCTGGCTTCAAGGAGACGTGTCTGGCAATGGAATGTTGAAATCACGTGAAACCTCTTTCGCAGTTTCAGTAATATGGTTCGTCAGCCAGGTAGGTCCACAATACTCTACTAATACTGCACCAGAGTGTCAGCCTAGACTGTGAGTTGAAAATCCCAGTGAGTGGTGTGAACCCACAACCTCCTGACTCAGAGGAAAGAGTGCTACCAACTGAGCCTGACTGACACTAAATTATTTAAAGTATTGTTCAACCAAATAACTCAAGTTTCACCTACAAAATACAGTCACTCTACATTAAAGGAACACCTGCAAAGTGCTTTGAGACGTCTCACTGAGGTGAAAGATGCTATACTAAATGCAAGGATTATTATTATTATACGTTTCACATGCATTTGGCACAGTACCTTTAGTATTCTGATGATACTTAAAGTCACAATTATTATCCAGCACAAAGATCGATGCAGTATTGACCTAGCACTTGTAAGTCCAGCTAATTCCTCTTAATGGCAAGTTGAATAACACATAGAATAAATTGCTGTCAGCTGAAATGACTCCTAGCAGAAAAAAACCTTTCCACTGCAACTACATAATTTAC